CAATTACCTCGTACTATTATCCCTCCTAGTACTACTACCTCACCATGTACATTACCTCATACCTCGTCCAACCCTTTGTACTAGCCAGTTACTCAATTGTGGATTTATTCTTTGTGTTATTATTTTTATTTTTGCATATTATGTCTCTTTTTATCTCTCTGCATTGTGGGAAGGGCCTGTAAGTCAGCAGCTCACTGTTACACCTGTTGTTTACTAAGCATGTTGATTTATCTCTCTACACAGTGGAGTTACACACTGACACTGGGATGGTATCTATCTCTCTACACACAGGAGTTACACACTGACACTGGGATGGTATCTATCTCTCTACACACAGGAGTTACACACTGACACTGGGATGGTATCTATCTCTCTACACAGTGGAGTTACACACTGACACTGGGTTGGTATCTATCTCTCTACACAGTGGAGTTACACACTGACACTAGGATGGTATCTATCTCTCTACACACAGGAGTTACACACTGACACTGGGATGGTATCTATCTCTCTACACAGTGGAGTTACACACTGACACTGGGATGGTATCTATCTCTCTACACACTGGAGTTACACACTAACACTGGGTTGGTATCTATCACTCTACACAGTGGAGTTACACACTGACACTGGGATGGTATCTATCTCTCTACACAGTGGAGTTACACACTGACACTGGGATGGTATCTATCTCTCTACACAGTGGAGTTACACACTGACACTGGGATGGTATCTATCACTCTACACAGTGGAGTTACACACTGAACACTGGGATGGTATCTATCTCTCTACACAGTGGAGTTACACACTGACACTGGGATGGTATCTATCTCTCTACACACAGGAGTTACACACTGACACTGGGATGGTATCTATCTCTCTACACAGTGGAGTTACACACTGACACTGGGATGGTATCTATCACTCTACACAGGAGTTACACACTAACACTGGGATGGTATCTATCTCTCTACACACAGGAGTTACACACTAACACTGGGATGGTATCTATCTCTCTACACAGTGGAGTTATCCCCATCATCTCCCAGAGAAGTGTGCGCTGCAGGGCCGGGGTGTCCCATAGAGAGAATGGGTAAACTAAACTTCTTCAGATCCAGCTGATTTCCCTGGAGTGGGAATAGGTCTGGAGGCTGCTTTCTGTCAGTCTGTCACCCACACCTTCAAACCACTTCTAAACCACTTGGAAATCCACTGAGACCTTTTACTCTGGGGTTTCAAACCATCTACGATGGATTCAGGTTGGAAACAACACATATTCTGAATTCAAGAGTGCATAACGCAAAAAGTCATTGTAAATGTCTTGCATTTGATCATGTCTGAAAACAGAGCGTCGGTAGCCATATTGAAAGAGACATTCAGATCTGCACCAGGAGGGCTCCACAGAAAAGCTAGTCTGAAGATGTCAGAAAGTTTTCATTTGTATTCACTTACTGCTCTCTAGAGGTCAGTCAATGTAATGACAACATCTCACCTGGACCCACAATGATCTTTAAGTGTTTTAGATTTATCATATTACCCAGATGCATAATTAATTTCATGATACATAATTTCAAAATCCACATTCTTGGTTACTGAAAATAGCATTTTGTGATACAAGAGGGAATAAAACAGTCCAGCAGACTAAAGACATACAGACATACAGAAACAGACAGACAGAGACAGACAGACACAGACAGACAGACAGAAACAGACTAGAGACACAGACAGACTAGACAGAAACAACAGAGGACACAGACAGAGAAGACAGAGGAGGACACAAGAGAGAACGAGAGAGACACAAAGAAGAGAACCAGAGAGAGAAGACACAAGAGAGAGAGAGAGACACAAAGAGAGACACAGAGAGAGACACACAAGAGAGAGAGACACACACGAGAGACACAAGAGAGAGAGACAGAAGAGAGAGAGAGAACAGAGAGAGACAAGAGAGAGAGAGACACAAGAGAGAGACAACAGAGAGAGACACACGAGAGACAGAAGAGAAGACAAAGAGACGAGAACAGGAGAGAGAAGACACAGAGAGAGCAGAGAGAGAGAGAGACACAGAGAGACACAAGAGATAGACACAGAGAGAGAGACACAGAGCGGAGAGACACAGAGAGAGAGACACACGAGAGAGAGACACATAGCGAGAGAGACACAGCGAGAAGACCCGAGAACAGAGACAGAGACACAGAGACACACAGAACGACAGAGACACAGAGACACACAGAAAGACAGACACACAGAGAGACAGAGACACACAGACAGAAAGACAGAGAACAGAGACACAGATACTTGTCATTGTGGAGGATGACTTGGTGTAGCAGGGGCTGATAATGAACCACTGATTGCATGCCATATATTTCACTAATTACAGCCTAGCTGGGCCCATGCCCAGCCTCAGCTCCCCCATGATGACACCACAGCTTTATTAATGAGTTACAGCATGGTGATTAATATGGGTGATATAGCAGAAAAGCCTCAGGATTGACTATTACTGGAGCAGGGTTCCTACTTGACATTAACACGGGAGACCATACTATAGTAGTATAGTGAAAACATCACCTCCAACAAACTACTTTAGACCATACAGGTCAATTCTGAACAGCATCTAGCTAGATAACACTTTGGACAAGGCATGGTGGCTTTCTGGAGACATTATACATGTTAGTAATTTAGCAGACACTCTTATCCAGAGCGACTTACAGTAGTGAGTGCACACCATCTCATCATTTTTTCGAGACACGGACATTGTGGATTTATGGAGATGTGGACACTATTTTAATCAAGAAACTGGATATTTCTTGGTGGAAAAAGGGAGCCCAAGGTCAGCCATATTGCTCGGTGGAAAAGGGTGTCAAAGGTCAGCCATATTTGCTCGGTGGAAAAGGGAGTCCAAGAACAGCCATATACAGTGCCTTGCAAAAGTTGTGGAGAAGTACAGATCAGGGTTGGGTTATAAAAAATATCCAAAACTTTCAACATCCCACGGAGCACCATTAAATCCATTATTAAAAAATTGAAAGAATATGGCACCACAACAAACCTGCCAAGAGAGGGCCGTCCACCAAAACTCACGGACCAGGCAAGGAGGGCATTAATCAGAGAGGCAACAAAGACACCAAAGATAACCCTGAAGGAGCTGCAAAGCTCCACAGCGGAGATTGGAGTATCTGTCCATAGGACCACTTTAAGCTGTACTCTCCACAGCGCTGGGCTTTATGGAAGAGTGGCAAGAAAAAAGCCATTGCTTAAAGAAAAAAATAAGCAAACACGTTTGGTGTTGGCCAAAAGGCATGTTGGAGACTCCCCAAACATATGGAAGAAGGTACTCTGGTCAGATGAGACTAAAATTGAGCTTTTTGGCCATCAAGGAAAAAGCTTTGTCTGGCGCAAACCCAACACCTCTCATCACTCCGAGAACACCATCCCCACAGTGAAGCATGGTGGTGGCAGCATCATGCTGTGGGGATGTTTTTCCATCGGCAGGGACTGGGAAACTGGTCAGAATTGAAGGAATGATGGATGGTGCTAAATACAGGGAAATTCTTGAGGGAAACCTGTTACAGTCTTCCAGAGATTTGAGACTGGGACGGAGGTTCATCTTCCAGCAGGACAATGACCCTAAGCATACTGCTAAAGCAACACTCGAGTGGTTTAAGGGGAAACATTTAAATGTCTTGGAATGGCCTAGTCAAAGCCCAGACCTCAATCCAATTGAGAATCTGTGGAATGACTTAAAGATTGCTGTACACCAGCGGAACCCATCCAACTTGAAGGAGCTGGAGCAGTTTTGCCTTGAAGAATGGGCAAAAATCCCAGTGGCTAGATGTGCCAAGCTTATAGAGACATACCCCAAGAGACTTGTAGCTGTAATTGCTGCAAAAGGTGGCTCTACAAAGTATTGACTTTGAGGGGGTGAATAGTTATGCACGCTCAAGTTCTGTTTTTTTGTCTTATTTCTTGTTTGTTTCACCCCAAAAATGATTTTGCATCTTCAAAGTGGTATGCATGTTGTGTAAATCGAATGATACAAACCCCCCAAAAATCCATTTTAATTCCAGGCTGTAAGGCAATAAAATAGGAAAAATGCCAAGGGAGGTGAATATTTTCGCAAGCCACTGTATATTTTGGAGTCAAAGGTCAGCCATATTTCGTGGTGGAAAAGGGATTCAAAGGTCAGCCATATTTCTTGGTGGAAATGGAGTCAAAAGGTCAGCCATATTTCTTGAACCATCCTCTCCCTCATCATGTGTTTGATGTATTTCTCCATCCTGGTTGAGATCATGTGACATGACCAGCTAATTGCTGGTGCTGCTGGACTGGACACCGTTGTCCATAAGAGGGACATTGTGACTCTGCCCGCTCCCCTCCCTGTATTATAAAATGTAATTGCGGTTCGCTTCAGCTAAATAGGTGAGAGGGCCCATTTAATAGTTAATTGACAGATGATTAAGACCAAGCAAACGGCCAGTCATCAGGGGGAATGTCACCTTGCTTCCCAGCTTTTTATTGTTTCCCGTCTTTATAAAGGAAGGAGGAAAGCAGGAAGGAGCTTTGGCTGAACACTGAAGAGATGTATGAATTACAGGTAGTGGGTTCAGCTGACCAACTGTATTTTATGGCTGATAATTGCAGCATACTCCTACCCCAAATTAAACCATATCCACAACCTGTGATAAACATTTAACCTGCATAAACAAATTCTAAAATAATTCCTTCTTCTCATAAGTCTCAGTCTCACAACTTCCTGCATCTTAGTTGTGTTGAATGAATGGAAATAGATTAAACCATGATCTACAGATATTGCTTAGTTAGAACAGACAACTCAAACGATGGGTTAACATCTCCGGTGGGTTATTTAGTTTTCTATAACATCTCCGGTGGGTTATCTTAGTTTTCTATAACATCTCCGGTGGGTTATCTTAGTTTTCTATAACATCTCCGGTGGGTTGTCTTAGTTTTCTATAACATCTCCGGTGGGTTATCTTAGTTTTCTATAACAACTCCGGCGGAGTAGTCTTACCGTCCTGGAAGACCCGTTCCACATTGAGGCCGTAGGTGGCGCACGTCTCATAGTAGGTGCAGCGCTTCAGGTCATTGGACAGCTTGCGTGCTCGTGTGTCGTCGATGACCCGGGGATTGGCTGAGCTGATAGCATCTGCAATCACAGAAATAGCCAATCAAGTGGCGCCCTCTAGTGCTTATAGAGAGGAAATGCATGTCTTATTGCAGTAACTACAAACAGCCCTTAGGTGGCAGTGGCACTCCAAGGAAGTGATTTCGGATAGAGGCTGGAGAAAAGATGCAAGAAGGTGTATGGAACTATGGTGCAACATAGTATTCTGTTCATGCACAGTGCATGTATGCTCGTGTCTCTGCATGCCAGTGTGTGTGTCTCACCTTGCGTTCCCACCAGCACCAGAGGTATCTCAGCAGTGTTGCGGTAGTTAGCCATGCGGCTGTAGTAATGGTAGACTGTCTGGAAACTGATCTCATCCTCCAGACTGAACACAAATATCACCGCATCCACCCACAGGGCAAACTGGAGAGAGAGAGAGAGAGAGAGAGAGAGAGAGAGAGAGAGAGGAGAGAGAGAGAGAGAGAGAGAGAGAGAGGGAGGGGGGAAAGAAAGAGAGGGAGAGAGAGAGAGGAGAGGGAGAGAAGGATCGTAAGGTTAAAGCTAGAATCGTTAGTTGATACATCCATTTTTGGACTTATAAATTAATGATATATAACCATTGACTCTTGAAGAATATGCCTCAAGCTTAGTCCTACTGTCATACACCATCAGAACCCAAAATATAAGATTGTTTTACTCCAATGTTTGTAAACATACATGTAAAGAAACACTGTATAGCCTCAAAACATGGTTAAAATTATCCATTTGATATCATGGATGAGCAGTGCGTGCATCCATAACCGTCTATGAATTTGAGAGTTAACATTTCTCCAGCCCCATGCCTTAGCTTTTTAGCAAAACCGGGGCGGGGCTTTGATATTGTTTCAACTAAGGATTCTAGCTTTAAGGTATTCGGGTTAGTAGTTCAAACTGCATTTGTGGTTAGGTTAGGAAGCATCAGTTTCCAGGACCCAGATTAAGACTAGTTCTAGATTAAAAAGGATGCTCAATAGAGTATCTCCATTAAAGTGGATTTTTAGTCTAGGGCTAAATCGGCTTAATCTGTGTACAGGAAACCCACCTGTAATCAATCCACAGCAGCATGTTGCAGATGATACTGCCATGTTAATAAAGCTGTATTACCAACCTGAGCCTCTGGAGGGCCCCCTTCATCTCTGATTAGCAGCAGGTTGCTCTGTCCATCCACCACTATCTCCTTCTTAAAACGGCCCCCTGCAGGAACAACACATAGTATGAGAGAGAGGAGAGGAGAAGAGAGGGACTAACAATGGAGACTGATCAAATACTCCATTAATAACCACAGTATAACTAGCCTCACTTAGCTTTTAGTCCAATTTCACATTTCATTTGTTGATATCACGTTAGACCAGCTAGAGTGAAATCATTAAATTAACGGTTGATGATTTCAAAAATGCGTAGTAAAGCTGTTTGATGAGGTAATGGTAGTGAGAAGGAGACATGATCAATGGAAAGACGGGTAGCTATGATTCATGTGGACTCATTGTGGAGAACGCTCAGGTCTGGCTCAGGTCTGGCTCAGGAGTCTGGCTCAGGTCTAGCCAGGATGTTGAAGCAGATATTTGGGAGGGTGAACACACACACACACACACACACACACAGTGGTGTAAAGTACTTAAGTAAAACATACTTTAAAGTAGTACTTAAGTCGTTTTTGGGGGAATCTATACTTTACAACTTATATTTTTGATCACTTTTACTTTACTACATTCCTAAAGAAAATCATGTACTTTTTACTCCACACGTTTTCCCTGACACCCAAAAGTACTCGTTACATTTTGACTGCTTGGCAGGACAGGAAAATGGTCCAATTCACACACTTATCAAGAGAACATCCCTGGTCAATCCCTACTGCCTCTGATCTGGCGGATATTTAAAACCAAATACTTTTAGACTTTTACTCAAGTAGTATTTTACTGGGTGACTTTCACTTTTACTTGAGTCATTTTCTATTAAGATCTTTACTTAAGGTATCTTTACTTTTACTCAAGTATGACTATTGGGTACTTTTCCCACCACTGCACACACACACACACACACACAATGATATCAGCTGTCCAGGACCAGATGGTAATATTGACTACCCACAGGAGAATGAGAGGAATGCTGCTGTACAGGGAAACCACACACAGAGATGACAGCGCAGTATATGTGTGTGTGTGTGTGTGTGTGTGTGTGTGTGCAAAACATTCCAGCAGGTCATTCCTCAAAAAAACATGTTTTATCTGTACGGATCTGAGAGAACTGTATGAATGATGTTCTCTCACAATATGGCCTCCAATCTTCACCTGGCCTTCACCAACACCCTATTCTCTGGCCTGGATGCTCTTATGCTGACCTATGAACCTTGACCTCAGATGGAAAGGTCAGAGGGTGTGGGTCGTGTCCAGGGACTAAAGGATCCCAGCTGACCATGTTCGCCAAAGCCAAGGCTGCTATATCAAGGGGGGATCAGGGTTGTATGAGGGGAGGACTGATGTACACTGAACAAAAATATAAACGCAACATGCAACATTTTCAAAGATTTTACTGAGTTACAGTTCATATAAGGAAATCAGTCAATTGAAATAAATTCATTAGGCCCTAATCTATGGATTTCACATGACTGGGAATACAGATACACTATATATATACAAAAGTATGTGGACATCCCTTCCAATTAGTGGATTTGGCTATTTCAGCCACACCCGTTGCTGACAGGTGTATAAAATCGAGCACACAGCCATGCAATCTCCATAGACAAACATTGGCAGTAGAATGGCCTTACTGAAGAGCTCAGTGACTTTCAACGTGGCACCACCTTTCCAACAAGTCAGTTCGTCAAATGTCTGCCCTGCTAGAGCTGCCCCGGTCGACTGTAAGTGCTGTTATTGTGAAGTGGAAACGTCTAGGAGCAACAACGACTCAGCCGTGAAGTGGTAGGCCACACAAGCTCACAGAACGGGACCGCCATGTGCTGAAGCGCGTAGCGCATAAAAATCGCCTGTCCTCGGTTGCAACACTCACTACCGAGTTCCAAACTGCTTCTGGAAGCAACGTCAGCACAAGATCTGTTCGTCTGGAGCTTCATGAAATGGGTTTCCATGGCCCAGCAGCCGCACACAAGCCTATACAACATTTCTGGGATCTCATTTCAACTTTACATGTTGCATTTACATTTTTGTTCAGTATATAAGGGATGAAGAGGCCTAATGTTTAGGGATGGAGGAGGAGGACTGATATTAGGGATGGAAGAGGACTAATGTATTAGGGATAGAGGAGGACTGATATTAGGGATGGAAGAGGACTAATGTATTAGGGATGGAGGAGGACTGATATACAGTGCTATGAAAAAGTATTTGCCCCCTTTCTAATTTTCTCTACTTTTGCATATTTGTGATACTGAATGTTATCAGATCTTCAACCAAAACCTAATATTAGATAAAGGGAACATAAGTGAACAAATAACACAACGATTACATATTTATTTAATAAACAAAGTTATGCAACACCCAATTCCCCTTTGTGAAAAAGTAATTGCCCCCTTACACTCAATAACTGGTTGTGCCACCTTTAGCTGCAATGACTCCAACCAAATGCTTCCTGTAGTTGTTGATCAGTCTCTCACGTCGCTGTTGAGGAATTTTGGCCCACTCTTCCATGCAGAACTGCTTTAACTCAGTGACGTGTGGGTTTTCAAGCATAAACTGCTCGTTTCAAGTCCTGCCACAACATCTCAATTGGGATTAGGTCTGGACTTTGACTAGGCCATTCCAAAACTTCCAGTTTGTTGCTTTTTAGCTATTTTCATGTAGACTTGATTGTGTGTTTTGGATCATTGTCTTGCTGCATGACCCAGCTGCGCTTCAGCTTCAGCTCACAGACGGATGGTCTGACATTCTCCCGTAGAATTCTCTGATACAGAGAAGTGTTTGGTTTTCGCCAGGCATAATGGGACCCATCTCGTCCAAAATGTTGACTCAAGTTTGCCAAAAAGCACCTGGATGATCATCAAGACTCTTGGAAGAACGTTCTATGGACAGATGATTCAAAAGTATAACTTTTTGGACGACATGGTTCCAGTAATGCCTGGCGAAAACCAAACTCTGCATTCCACAGTAAGAACCTCATACCAAAGGTCAAGCATGGTGGTGGTGTGATGGTTTGGGGATGCTTTGCTGCCTCAGGACCTGGAAGACTTGCCTTAATAGAAGGAACCATGAATTCTGCTCTGTATCAGAGAATTCTACAGGAGAATGTCAGACCATCCGTCTGTGAGCTGAAGCTGAAGCACAGCTGAGTCATGCAGCAAGACAATGATCCAAAACACACAATCAAGTATACATGAAAATTGCTAAAAAGCAACAAATTGGAAGTTTTGGAATGGCCTAGTCAAAGTCCAGACCTAATCCCAATTGAGATGTTGTGGCAGGACTTGAAACGAGCAGTTCACTCAAGTTATTGAGTGTAAGGGGGCAATTACTTTTTCACACAGGGGAATTGGGTGTTCCATAACTTTGTTTAGGAAATAAATATGTAATTGTTGTGTTATTTGTCCACTTATGTTCCCTTTATCTAATATTAGGTTTTGGTTGAAGATCTGATAACATTCAGTATCACAAATATGCAAAAGTAGAGAAAATTAGAAAGGGGGCAAATACTTTTTCATAGCACTGTATTAGGGATGGAGGAGGACTGATATATTAGGGATGGAGGAGGACTGATATATTAGGGATGAGGAGGACTGAAATATTAGGGATGGAGGAGGACTGATATATTAGGGATGGAGGAGGACTGATATATTAGCGATGAGTAGGACTGATATATTAGGGATGGAGAGGACTGATATATTTAGGATGGAGGAGACTGATATCATAGGATGGAGGAGGACTGATATATTGGGATGAGGAGACTGATATATAGGGATGAGAAGGATGACTACTAGTGGAGGATGAATGAGCTATGAAGAATGCTAGGATGAGAGCTGTATAGCTATAGGATGCCAGAGAGATGCATCTGCTCTCTGCTTCTTTCTCAGTGCTCGCTCTCTGACTGCTCGCTCTCTGCCGGCTCTTTCCTCGTCGCTATCTCTCTCGCTCCTCATCTCTCGTTCCGCTGCCTGCCCTCTCGCTCTGCTTGTCTCTGCCGCGCTCGCGTCTCTCCGCCTTCCTCTTCTCTCCGGCTGCTCTCGCTCTCTCTCGCTCTCTCTCTCTCCTCTCCGCTCCTCCTCCTCCTCGCCTCTTCCCTCCTCTTCTGCTCTCCTCCCCTCTCTCGCTCTCCTCCTCCCCTCGCTCGTCTTCCTCTCTTTCGCTTTCGTCGCTCTCTCCTCTCCTCTCTCTGTCGCTGCTCTCTCCTGTCGTCTTCTCCTCGGCGCTTGCTCGGGTGGCTGTGCGGGCTGCGTGTCTCTCTCGTGCTCGGAGGTGGCCCCGCCGACGGCTGACACGAGATCTCGGCGAGATGAAGAGAGAGAACGGCGCCTGGTCCTGGACGGACTGAACACTGTGCAGAACGTGTTGCCCACTGAGACCTAACCTTAGTCTCAGGACACACACACCATGTGGAGTCATCATCAACGACCTTCTGCAAAACACTGTCCGACTCCCTAGACACACAGTCGGACAATAACACAGGGTTTTACTCCCTTGTTAAAAAGTCTGAGCATTGGTCTAGCACCCATTAAAGTAGAAATACAAATACACTTTTGAGTGTAGACATTGAATCCCCATGTTATAGGGAACTTAGTGAGCCTGGCACGAAGCGCACCTTTACTCACAAAATGTTTAAAAATAAAGTGATTAGCAACCTGTCAACTTCCACATCGTTTAACTGTCAAAAAGACCATCTAAAATACCTCCGGTCTTAAGTGTGAGATCCTGTGCTAGCCATATCTGTGGTGTTTGGGGGCTGGAATGCGAGCCAGGCCAGGCCAGGTCAGGCAGGGTTTCCCATAATGACATGGTTTACTGTGTGTGTGTGTGTGTGTGTGTGTGTGTGTCAGGGTAACAGGAAGAGGCTAGGCCATGGGTCAGCCTGCCAGCACCACACAGCAGCAGCTCTTCCCAAAGTATTTTTCCAGCTCTTTTTCCAGCTGTGGGGTTATGGAAGGAAGCCTACTCCAATCTGCTCAGGGGGGAGATAGGCAGAGGGCTGGGTGGGGCATGGGGGAGGAAAGAGGTGGCGGGGACACAGCCTGGTTATAGACTGAAGCACGGT